AGGAAGCGCGCGCGCGCGAGAGGGAACGAAAAGAAGAAGGCGAGAAAGAGATGGAGGACGAAGCAAACAAGGCAGCAAGGTCAGGTCGTCATCTGTACACGTTCGCAGCATCGAATAAATCGCGACGGGGTTACGGACGTACATCGTATCGCGCGTTTTATCTTCTTTATCGCGGCAATAATAACTTTATTATTGCGACTTCAGTGTGTTTCGGAGGGACGAAGGAAGAAAGCCATGTACATGTATCGAGATCGATGTCGAACGAAAGAAAAATTCAGTGTCTCCTGTAGACGAAAAAGAACTCCGTTTTTTGTTCGATCTATTCTAATCGATAATTGCTTTCATGCGTCATGTCTCAAGCGGGCTCTTCAACGAGCTCAAATGTTCGGCCCTGATAACAGAAATATTCTCTTTTGTCATCGAGTTTTCCTCCGGTCTCCGGTGTCATTACACGAACCGAGATATTTCCTCCATGTCAGGAAATTCCTCAAACTTAAAACAAAAAGAAAAAAGAATTCTGAGAACGACATCGTCATTCTCGTATCTCTGTACGTCCACGAGGGTTGATCGTGTCTAGGGATGCAACGATTTCTCAAAACGATTGATAACGATAATATCGATAATTTTGAAAAATATATTAATATTTATGTCGATATTTATATGGAAAAATGTATACATATATAGGGATATGCGTGTAAGGGTATACACGAAAAATTTTCAAAGGTCTTTTAACATTTTTATCTTCATATAATTTATTGTCATATTCTTATTGGAAAATATATTATATAATAGACCGCGGTCGTTTGCCGGAGATCACCGTATACATGGAGCAGGAGATCTATTACGGTTCAACGAGGTGAAAATGATGAAAATGAGCGAATTTACTGGACATCGACCAATTACATAATGCTATATATTCCAGTGAATTCACTCACTTTTGTAATTTTCATCTCGGTCGTAGAACCGTAAAGGTCCCCAGAGCTGTGACTGAAAAATACGAAATATCGAGTAAAATTGAAAGCGATATATCAATTTTATCGGAGACAAAGAAATATCGATAAATATTCGATATTTGTTTCTCGATATATCGATGTTTCGATATTATCGATTTATCGTTGCATTCCTAATCGCCAGTCTTCCGGCTTCCTAAACATTCGTCACGTCACCGACCGAGCCCCGTCAGTATTATCGGCACTTTTAACTCGCATTTGATTGCGTCACAACGAGATGGTACGCAGGAGGGTGTCGCGCTGAAGGAGGTCTTAGACCCACGACGCGCCCTTGGCGTCATCCGTTCGTCCGTGACGTGTCGTGAACTTTTCCAGTATCTTATCTCCCAGGTACGAGGGGACTATCAGGAAAAGATCGGACACGACTTTGTGAGTCCCGCCTCCAGGGAGGTCGAGGAGGTCACTGATGGTCTTGATTGATCGCTCCTGGAATCGCTCGTCACGTTTACCATACCGTCATCAGTCCGCGTCCTGTCAGAGTACGAAGCAAGGCCGATCGACTTTATCGAAGTATTGTGAGCCGGTCTACCTTTCTCAAGAGATCACGTCGATGTTGAGTAATGTCGTGAGTGATACCGATCACGATTCGTATGACGAGAGTTTCGTAGAGACGTTTCATTCGCGACGAGCCACCTGTAATCTCGACTGTTCTTATTTATATAATCGCGTCATTAAACTTTTTTAACACGATCGCGTCCTTTGATGTAAATAAGAGTATTGAGTGACGACATACTTTCTTTCCCATAGGAAAAATATATTTTTCTAAAGTTATAATAGCAAGATAAACGTCCCGATGGCCCAATGGACACATCCCAATATCCGACCACTTTGAAAAGAAAAACATTTACTATTTATTTCAACAATAATGAATAAAAGTAATAATTATTATAAAAAGAACTCAATATTTGACGATTAGTTGGAAAAGAAATATATCCAATTTGATACTTTTGTATTAAAATAAAAATTGATTAAATAAGTATGCACCTGTGATTTGGAAAAATAATGGGCAATCGTTGATTAATTCATTAAGAGGTAACATCTATATTTATATTATTTACCGTTACACACATACCAATTTTCTAATTGTAGTCAGATACTCTGACAAATTATATCCGAACATTACGGGCCGTAACTTATTTCAACTGTCCGCTCACTGGTACATTAATGCGCTTCATCATTTGTGTAAATATTTCATTAATAATAGATATATACATTGTTTTAAATCATTTTTCTCTACCTAAGGGAATCTTAAGTTTTCGAATAAATGCAAATATTCGTAGCGAAACTATTTTTAATATTATATATTTTTCTTACGATCTACGCTTAAACGTCCGGTTACTGGGACATTTATCTTAAGCGATAAATTATATAAGAGTCTCTAAAATTATCAAAGTCTGAAACAACTCTGAAATTGACAGAGCCACCAAAGTCGCTTCGATCGCGCATCTTTTCCCGAGGTCTCAGCAGTACATCAATCACGACTCGCGTGCAATCGTATCCGGCAAAAATGTGGAAACACATGTCGCTTCTCCCTCCCCCCTCACTTGAATCGTAAGGTTTTATGAAGGTCGTAAAGTATCCGTTACGTCGATGATAACTCGCCGATACGTTCGGGTATAAACAACCGTGTGTTACTCGCACGGAAACGTCCGTGCTGAATTTTACTACTCACTAAACACAACATTTCTCTCTCTCTTTCTCTCTCTCTCTCTTTCTCTCCATCTCTCCCGTCGTCGCGAGCGCGCGACTAGAAACTGCCGCGAGATAAAATAATCCGCGGGTCCGGATTATTTACCATAAGAACAAAAGGAAAAACGGTCGCTTCGATCACATCGCGCGCGCGGCCGGCGCAAAAATGCGGGCGAGAAATCGAAACCGGTTGCCGCTCGTTCAGGTTCTCTCGCGTACACGCCAATTTAACGCGAATCTCCAAACTGATATAACCGCTCTCGATTTACAAATCGGGGAATTAATTTTTCACACGGTCGTCACTTAGATCGCGCCGATAATTGGTCAAACCCACGCGATCGAGCCTGGGCTTGAGTTTCTTCCCGACGACGCAACGACGCAGCGAAATTAGCAACGGCGCGAACGGTCCGATTTCGCTCGTCGGCTCGCGTCGCGTCGTATCGATCGATCGATCGATCACGCCGTTGTGCCGAATTCCGCGATATTACGTGAGCTCGCGGCGAAAATTCACGAAGCGCCGTGTCGTTGAACCCGAACGATTATCTGGCCGCGTTGTTACGCGAGACGGTGCGCATTTGGCAACGAGGAGCCACTCTCGGTTTCGTTGACCTCACCTTGGGTGCCGCTTTCATTCATCGGAATATCCCGCGACTTTCGTTGCGACGTTTTGCACTCTCGCAGGATTGCGCTTTATCTTTCGGACGTTCATGAGCGTCTTTGTTTGAAGAACGCAGAACTCCGTGTCTCGTGTGCCAAGATTTTTCACGTATTTTCACGCGTTTCACCCCCTCCGTGATCCTCGCTGCGAAATTCGGGACTCGGTAGTGAGTTTCAGGCGGAATGGCAGCAGCAGCCAACGGGAACTTTTACCGTGACCTTCCGATGAAGCGGCGCTATGCGCTCGAGCCGGACCGCTCCACGTGGCCGACTCGAATAACGAAAGAGAAAGAAAGTGCGCGAGGCTTCCAGATCCCTTCCGCGTACGGCGAGACGCCGCGTCCGAATTTATCGCCGGTGTATTTCGACCACCCGGAGAAAACGAAGAGTCGGCCGAGCCGCGACGCGCAATCCCCAGACCGAGTTTCGTACACACGCACACACGTACGCACGCACGCACGCACGCACGCAGCAGGGAAGAAACCGCTCTCTCTATAGGTCAACCTAGAATAGAATCGAAGTAACCGCCCCGCGTTCCCCGGCATCGCGGATTCGCACGTACACGCGCCAGATCAGACGCAGAATGGTCCAGGCATCGGCAAATCGAGCGATATCTTGCCTCGCGAGCGCAAGTCGGAGCCGGCTATGTATGCTCGATAGGTCGATACGCCGACGTAGTAGCCGAGAGAGAGAGAGAGAGAGAGAGAGAGAGAGAGAGCGAAGCTGCTCTCTCGCGTCTGACTCAAGCGAAGTCTAACCGAAACTTGTCAGAGACGAAAATAGGAGGGACCGGATCGTCCGCGCTCGACTGTTAGTTTTCACTCACGCCGTCGATCTTGAAATTGTTTCCCTCGTTATTTCCCCGCGCGCACGCCGAGCCCTCGAATACGAGGAGTCTGACGCGCGCACGTGTGTACGCGCGAATCGTGATCTTCTCGTGATCGCCCGATGGTCGAAATTGCCGCGACCCCGCACTCGGCCGATAACGCGCGCCGAATTTTAATTAACTGACGCCGTCCTCGTTATCTTATCGCTCGCAGACTGCGCCAGCCGCGGCAGACTGGAATCTTAATATGCGTAGGTAGGTTCGGGGCTTCCTCATTCCGTTCGGCAGAATATCGCTCGCGAGGTTTGTCCGAATTTTATGAGACAGCCGGATTAACGCTACAGTCATCCAGTCGCTGACGGAAAAAGAAAAAAGAAATACCACGGTCTGCCTGAGGAATTGCGAATTTGCAGGATGCACGTGATGAAAAATTTGTTTCCCTCTTTCTGTTGTATGAAAATCTTATTCGTTATACTACTGTCTCAATTACTGTACACCAAACTCGTTCAGACTCGTATGTTATTAATAATAAAATAAATAAATTAATAAAAATTCAATGACGAGTATAATAAAACTATAATAAGGAGCATTGAATTTTCGTTATTCAATGAAAAATTCAATTTTCGATGTTGTATTTCTATTATTTTCATCTTTGTATTCTCTCGTCATGCAAATTCTCTCGGCTTCTTCGGCTTAGTCGTATAGTGTCTTAAAATTATTTTGTCAGCCGCTAGATGGCCACGACACTGTCTCGCTCTCTCGAAGTTAAATGTTGTCACAGCAGCGTATATATGAAAGAGCCTGTGGGACGAAAAGTTAAGACCATGCTCTACAGGATCAGTTCTGTAGTAGGTGTTCGTCTACCTCTTCCCTAACACGGAAGTAGATTCAACCACGATGAGGAGCAAAAGCTCCCTTCCTTGAGCGTGAGGACGACCGAGGTCTCGGGAACTCTGAGAACTCTGTCATCGATGATCGTTCGCCTCTTGCACTCGGTGCAAGGGGGAGGGGAAGGGAGTATTCTGAGTGGCCCTTAAAAAATTCTCAAAGTTTAACATTCTCACTTATCTGAAAGAAGACCTTCTGAACCTCTTTTATCATTAAAAGTGTGACTATATAATATTATAAGTCTCCTCATTGGCTATAAGCCACTTTTAGTGACGAAAGAGAGTTCGGAATTATGGACCTTAATCTTTGAATGGCGCAAAGTTGGAGAAATCGTTGCAATGGTCGAACTTTGTAGGGATACGAATCTTCTTCTAGGTAAGTCGACCCTTCTGTCGATGGACTTGGCATCAAAATGATAATTAACTTTTCATCATGATGGAAAATTTCAAAGTTTCCATTACGTACAGAAATGCCAAATCACCAAGAAATAGTAATCCTTTGCGAACAAGCTTCACCCAATTTCAAGTGGTCTGACGAAGATTAGAGGAGACAAGCGAAGCGATGGCAAATATTTTTTTCCCCGTAACAGGCTTGTTAACAAGAGAGACGCACTCCGACGCACAAATCTACCGTAATGGACGAGGCGAACGGTCACTCGTCAATTATGCCGTGGTTCTGTGTGCGTGCGACGATAGCGCTGATAGCGCTCGTGTGTGCACCGGTCGCACGACAATAAGCAAAACAGCGAGGTCGCGGTTGCATTCTATGCGGTTCTCGCGATGGCTCGTCGGAGGAGACGACGCTCCGCCATTTCCGACGACCGGGAGATTCGAGTCGACGTCGAAATTCGCAACGTCCACGGCGAAGGCGGTTGCCTCCCTCGCAGCCCCCCCCGGCAGCTGTTACGTTAACGAGGAAGTCGCGAGAGGTGAGAACCTGGGCGCGGTCTGACGAACGTCACGAGCCGCGACGCGGCCTCGGTAGGGTGCTCCCTACTAGGGCAACATAGTCCCGACGATTCGATAATAATTCATGGCGCCATGAATAATACATAAGTGCGCCACATGAATTCGTGAAGCGGCCAGCGCTTCGAGACGGCGGCGGGGGCTGACTCGCGACTCGCAGACTCGTGTTCGCCGCGCCAGCTTCTCTCCGACGGCGAGACAATAGGGGGGAGAAAGAGAGAGAGAGAGAGAGAGAATCGCTCTGTCTCGAGTCGGAGTGATTTGAAATTCTAAGACCGCGGCTCTCCCTCTCAGGCGGATGCGGTCGGGTTAAACGGCGTAACCCAATTAGCGTCGCGCATTCGCGAGTCATCCCTTTGAATCTTCTCTTCGCGGAACAAGTCGCAGAGACCTAATCGCGTCTAATCGCAGAGCGACATCTGCTTATTACCGACGAATTGGACAACATTCCCTCTCTCCCTTGCCCTGTGTTAAGTAAAAAACGATTATGACGGACAAATAGAATTTCTAAGGGTGACTCGGAATATTCCCTTCCCTTCCTTCTTGCCCGCAAAGGATTACTATTTCTTAGTTTTCAGCACTTCTACATGTGCAGCACGTGATGGGAACTTTTCATTATGCATTATGATGAAAAGTTATTTTCTTTCATTTCGATGACAGTTCGTCGACAAAAGGACCGAGACTTTCCTAGAAGAAGGTTCGTTATTCTGCACAAAGTTCGACACCTTCGCAGCGATCTCTTCAATCGTGCTGAAGGATCCAGAATCATTTCTTGGACAAACGTTAAACTTTGAGAATTTTATAAGGGCCACTCAGAATACTCCCTTCCCCTCCCCCTTGCACCGAGTGCAAGAGGCGAACGATCATCGATGACCGAGTTCTTCGAGAGTTCCCGAGACCTCGGTCGTCCTCACGCTCAAGGAAGGGAGCTTTTGCTCCTCATCGTGGTTGAATCTACTTCCGTGTTAGGGAAGAGGTAGACGAACACCTACTACAGAACTGATCCTGTAGAGCATGGTCTTAACTTTTCGTCCCACAGGCTCTTTCATATATACGCTGCTGTGACAACATTTAACTTCGAGAGAGCGAGGCAGCGTCGTGGCCATCTAGCGGCTGACAAAATAATTTTAAAACAATACGACTGAACGACGAAGAAGCCAAAAGAATTTACATGACGAGAGAATATAAAGATGAAAATAATAGAAGTACAAGGACGAAAATTGAATTTTTCACTGAATAACGAAAATTCAGTGCTCCTTATTGTAAATTCATTTCTAAACACTATAGTTACCCGAAAAAGTCGAACTTGCATGATGAAAATAGTTCTAGAAATAAAAACGACGATAATCAACTAAACGGATTCGCGAATAGAGTGGGCGTCTTCACGCGCGCGACGTTGACTCTTCGAAAGCTCGAATTTCGAATCGATTCCACCTTTCGATAAGTCTGCGACGAAGTAAAGGATCTTCGATCCTGAAGACTAACGGAAAAACAACAGATTTTATGCGTGACGATTTATTTTCGGACTCAATGACGTTTCACATATTTCACGGTTTCATGAGTACTCCCACCGAGTCAACTTGGCCGTTCGAGCGGTCGAGCTGGCAGCTCGACTTCCAATCCGTCGGCAGACGACACAGTCAGGGTCTCCTGTGAACACCATTTGAGACCTGCGCCCATAATCCTCGCGCGAGCGCACGTCGTCGTCATCATTGGCGCAATAATCGTGCCCGATATTTCCGCATGTGGCGTGTCACGCGTGTCACGATCGATTCATGCCGCGTAACGTCGAGGGGTATGCTTGCAAGTTAATAGAGCGATAAATATACGACGGCCGAAATGCAATCTCCGGTCGAACAGATTGTGTTACGCGCCCTTCGCGGCTACGTCCGTCTCAGCCGCGTGCCACTGACGCTTTTCACGATTAACCGGTGAGACTCGCCGACTGGAAACTTTAGAAGCTCCCGATCATGTCGCTCGAGAGCGCGACAGCTCGTTTAACGCTCATGTTCCGGTCCGACATGATAGGCCGACTGACTCACATCTTCTCTCGGCGAGTATTTCATCGCGAGTATTTTCCTCTCCTTTTCTGTCGAGAGCGGTTATCATGGCTCGCCGAGTGTCTGCGACGGAACGCCTTAGAAGACAGTAATGGTCCCACGGGGGAAATAGCCGCCGTCGAAATAGCGGCCGGTTAAATATAACTGGCGCGGTGCAGCCGGCTCGGCAAAGAAAGAAAGAGAGAGAGAGAGAGAGAGAAAGGGAGGGCGAGAGAGGGATAAATGGACGACTATCTGCGAAGGCGCGAACTGCAAAGGTTCATTGCTTCCTGGCTGCCGGATTCCGGGTCAGCCGGCGTAGCGCAGCTCCAAATTCGCCCGGCGCGAGACACGTGGGAATCGGCTGGGGAGGGAGACGCGCCGCGAGCAAAAAGAAACGGAAACTCGACCTTGCGATTTCATCGAGTACGCGCACCGCGGCAGCGAGAGCGAGCGATTGGAAAGCCCGACTGCGGGGGGGGGGAATAATCGGTAGGGATATTCTTGCGCAAAATCCCGCCAATTCGCGCCATTCAACGAATCAATCAGTCCCGAGTGAACTCCACGTCTCCATGCGTACGCAAATAGTGGTTTGTTCTCTCCAGCTGAACTTTCTGTACTAGAAGTGTACACCGAAGCGTTCTTTCTAGCAGAAGTTACTGTTCTTCCCACCAGTGCAGCGGAACTTAGCGCAACAGTTCACTGCACTGCTCGCACTGGATCTGGAGTTATGTACAAGCAATTCGCTAGATTGCGAAGGTAAAATTTATGCCAGACAATGTATATGAAAAGAACAGACCTACAGTTAATAGGTTAATAGGTTATTAGATACTTTCGCAGTTTTTACTTTATTAATATCAATCAATTATGCCAAATGAAATAACAGTATATCATCATGTTCTTCATCCCAGATATGTTCTGCGGTAGTGATGAGCAAATATCGATCGATGAAACAAGCATCGATTCTTATTTTCTTGAAAAATCGATTATCAGACCGATATTTTTGGAGCCGATTATTCCCTAGATCGATAATTTTTTTCGTCGATTATATTACTAGATTTGTTACTAAATTTTTATCACTAGGGAATTTGTTTACTACTATTAAGGCCCGTCTACAATAGCTGCAAAAATAAAGCTGTAACAGTAAACAGTGAAAAATAAACCGACAACAGTCGACTATTACAAGAACAACCGACTTTAATTGGTTTATTTCTTGTTACGCTTATAACCTTATTTTTATATAAGCTTATACTTGCAGCCATTGTAAAAGGGTCTTTAAGATTTTAATAATATATTAATTTATTGTTGCAACATATAACTCTTCACATTAATTTGAAATAAACTCAGAAAACATCGATTATTATCGATATTTTTAAGAAAACATCGATTATGCAAAAACGATTTTCTTCATAATCGATTAAATCGAAGACGATGCTTTTTTTTGACGAAGCCCATCCCTATTCTGTGTGTGTATAATGTAAAAAAGGTTAGGAATGTGCGGAGAAGCATAAAGTATCGATATTTTGTATCGATACGAATCGAAATGCATAGTACCGATATACCGATATATTGATTAGAAATATATCGATATTAGAGAATATCGTTAAGATTTTTGCACACAGGAATGTGACAACGCCTGCCGCGCGGCGAAAGTTCACGCGATAGCTAATCACTAGGCGGTATTCATAGTCAGATCTTATATTTAAGACTGTCTTATGTTCATGTTCAAATATTCTGTAGCCAGTAAAATGATCTGTATAATATCTGAAGATGAATTTGAGACGATCTCAGATATAAAATCTGATATAAATATCACCCTTGAGATCGCTCTACATTGGTCGCAAAATTGCATTAGTCGCAAAATCGCAGCAGTTGCAACACTTAACGCGACAGCCAATCACACGCGTCAATGGTACTATTATGCTTCTGATTGGCTGTCGCGATAAGCGTTACTAGGACCTTTCAATCAGAGACTGGGCATAAGAGAGACAGTTTTGACTAGTCCTTTCGTGTTTCGTCAAATCATACACAGTACTCAATCACAGTAGGTTATCTTAGATTTAGAAGAGATAGACAAAGAAAGATATTGAAAATATGTCTCTATTTCTCTCGCAAGATTTTGATAAAACCTCAGTTAGG